TCCGTTCAAAATAACTTCTCATACATTGCTCAAAATGGACAAATGAATATACCAACGTGATCTACACAACCTCACGATCACAACCATATTTTTAAAATAATTTTTGGACACGCCACGCGCCCCCACGCGCCAGCACAGACACGGGCCCACGCGCCCCCACGCGCGGCCACATGACATGCACGCTGACGGCGTCAAGTGACGCCGTCAGGAATATTCCCTGGAATCTGACGGAATATTCCGTTAACCTTGACTGACGCCGTTAACGTCCGTTAGGAATATTCCGTTAAACCCTAACGGAATATTCCCCTGTCTTCTCCGGCCAACCCCCCTGGCCGGCGCCGTCGCCGGAAACCTGCAACTCGCCATAACTCACTCGTTTTTCAACCGTTTTTCATGATTTTTGCACCATTTTGACCCTTAGGACTAGTAGAACACGATCCTACAAGTTTTAAGGCTTAAAACTACGAGAAAATACCTGTCCAAGTTTCCAAAACTCGGCCAACTTCGAACCAAGCTTTCCCGACATCCAAACTTGTCCAACGAAGCACTCCTAAGCTCCTGGGAACCTCACAAACACAACTACAAGCTTCAAAAGTCCAAAAACAAGCTAGATTAAGTTTGCATGAACAGTGTTCAAAACGAAGCTTACGAGATCGACGTGAAAACGACTAGTTTCTCACCTGAAAATGGCACCACTAGACTTCTCTCAGCCTCACCAACACGATGGTGTACTTGGTTCCCTCGATCTGCAAAGATTTGGTGGGTTTTGTGTTTGGTCCGTGTTGATGTATATTTCCTTCCTAATGCTTGAATATATTTAGTATAATGGCACAAGCAAGGGTGTCGAATCCACAGGGACTAATTGGACCTATGTAATTACTTGTTTTGCTAGAACTCTAAGAAATGAATCAAACTAGTCTAACTAGGCAGATTTGAATCAAACTAATCAAACTAGGCAGATTTGGTATTGGAACTTGAAAGTATAAGAACATGAAGTAAACACAAATAAATGAATCAACAACTAATACAATGAGATAGTATCAATGGAAATGAAACTAGGGATTCGATTTCACCATTGCTCAACTAAGTCCATGTTTGTTAAGTTAGTTTATACTCATTCATCTACCTATTTCTTGAGTTTGTTTCACTTGGATATGATCAACCATATGATGTGTGGATTTGATCAAATGTCTCTAATCTTGAACCTAATTGTGATGTGCAACTTTGGTTCATAATCTAGAGTATGTAATGCACAAGAAACGTTCACTAAACCAAAGGGAACACTCGGCAGGATGTTTGCCAAGCTTTCCCTTCATTCATTCACAAATCCACCAAAATTAGACATGATGTATGCTTTAATCTTGGCTAAATAACTTGTGGTTAACTCAAATGGAGATCAAGCATACAAATCAACTCACAAATTCACAATTATAACAGAGAGTGAAGCAAGAACTAGATAGACAAACTGAGCATTCTAACTTAATTACATGGCAAACTTTGCAAGGTTACATCGAATCCCTAGAGGAAGATTAGTTACACTTCATGTTTACAAACGATTTGACATAGAAATATAAAACATGAATGAACATAGAATTGATAAGAATGAACCCTTGAAGCAAATCTGATGTTGAAGTCCTTGAAGAGTTCCTTGATGTTGCTTCTCCAAATGTGGTGCGGATGAACTAGATTGGCTTGGTTTGAATGGTTTCTGCCCTTGGGACAGAAATGGACAGAGAATGGAGTGAAATGGGAGAGATTTTAGAGTGTGTAATGGACTGAAATGAAGAAGGAAACTTGCGGACCCCCTTGGGACAGAAATGAGACTTGTTTTATGGAAAAGAATGTGTCCCCAACATTGAGATTGGATCTGGGATTTGTTTAACTCAGATGGCAGTGCATTGTTGATGTAATGAGTGTGTTTCTGAGGTAGTGGACGCCTCACATGGACAAGGTCTGCAAGGAAGTGTTAATGTATTCAAAGAAGCATGTGCCCTTGCTGCCACAAGTGAGTGGAACCTGCAAAGGTGAAATAAACCACCAAAAATTGTTTATACAAATCTGGAAAGGGGAAGAACACACGGTTTGAACAAAGGGAATGAGTGATTTTCTGGAATAATGGGTGAATAACAAAAGGGAAAGGTGCAAGTATGGTTTTATTTAATTGAAGTGCATGTGTATTTCTGCAAAGATGAAATGCAGAAATGTAATGGAATGCACGGAATGGATGTGGATCATGCATGTGAATGCATGCTTTGGTGTTTTAGAAATGTATAATCTGACATGCCAACATATGGGAGAGCACGGCCAGATTGTGATCATGGTAAAAATGTGGCTGATTAGATTAAGTAATGGAAGTGGATGGTTTTGGCGCACAAGGGGGATGGAATGGATGTGGTTTGCACGGCACAAAGTTGCAAACATGCATGTGAATGCACGTTTGGGTGTTGAATCTGATTTGGTACTAGAAGTGCATAAAATGATGGGATGACAAGGGAATGCACGGCTAAAGTTGTGAACTTGCATGTGAATGCATGTTTTGATGTTGGAACCACATAGCCGACTTCCATGTTTTTGCTTTGTTTAGAATCACCCAACATGGCTGAATTGCATCTCTTAACACTTCACATCTTCTCTGGAATGTTTTTACTTCATATGTCTTCCCATTAATCCAATTTCACAAAGACTGCACACTAACACCAAATAATGTAAAATGCAACTAGTTTAATCCAAAACAATCACAAAGACACCAAATAATGAAGATATAAATGTATACAAAATGTGACTTATCAGTCCGTACGTTTACAAAGAGAAGAAGGAGGAATGGAGCTCGGGGGAGAGAGAGAGACAGTGAAGAGACAGAGGAAAAGAGAGGGGGACAGGGTCTGAGAGAGTGTGTGTGTGTGTGTGTGTGGCCCAACACATGCCACACCACACAAAACAATCCACAACGTGACAAAAACGAACTAGGGGCAAAGTCGTAAATTCACATGTGCGTTTCGGTATTTCCGGGACGAGATGTCACATTTGTACCATATTTTAATAAACTAATAATTAAGAAAAAACTAATTCATTAAATGATGATTGTGAAATACGAGAAGTCTTTTTGCTTCATTTCCTTGGATTTTGCAAATTTTTCAAATAATGTGGCTGTCCACATCAGATGCCACCTAAGGTAATATAAAAATATGATATAAAAACATGATATTTTAACCTAACAATTATCCTCAATACAGTTGGGGCCCTCCAACGTCTACAAGGATCCAATCAAACCCCAACTCCAAGGTTCTCTCCAAGGAAACATAAATATGGTAAAATCTTCCCTAACCTGAGCAAAACAAACACATCTCACATTTATCTTGCATGGTTCCATGCCATGTGTAAAACCACAAAAAAAAATAAAAAATTTGAAAACTAAAACAATTTTTTTTGGTTAACAAATGATATTATCAATATGGGTATAAAGTGCATTAAGCCTCATAATGGGTGAGCAACAATATGGTTCAAATTTGATTTTGGCAATAATCGAACCTAAAACATGTCACTTACACTTACAAATAAAACCAAACCATAGTACTAAGTTGTAAAACAAAATTAAGATTGAATTAACTAACAAAATATTAAAAGTAAATTACATAAAACTACCTCAACTATTGGCCAGTCACAATTTCATACCCCATCTTTAAAAAATATCAATGTCATATCTCATCTTATGAATTTGTTACAATTTCATACCTTCCGTCAGTTTGTCCGTCAATTTTTCCGTTAAATAGTGACATGGCTTGAGACGGGGCCCACTCTCTATTAAAAAATAATTAAATATTAAAAACTAAAGAATAAAATCATTTAATAATTTCATGGGGGACCCACCCCTTATCCCCCTCACCCTTTCTTCCCCATTCCCATCTTCCCTAAACCCAAAACCAGATCCCACCTCGCTTCCGTCTCCTCTGCACAGATCACTACCTCCACTCTCCCTTCAACCTCCCCTACTGCTTCTCTGATTTTGATGACCACCTTCAGCTGTCAGTCACCCACCTCACCCGCGCCATTCCATCACTTGACTCCCTCCCTCTTTCCGTCCACACCGCCCTCAAGGGCATCGTCGCCGACCTCGCCTCTGCACTTGAAACTCGTTGTTATACAGAACCAAGGGCAAAATCTCCGTCCTCATCAACTGCCTCTCCCTCTGCTCCTCCCTTTGCAACAACATAGTCGCCATCTACGGCTAGCTCGCCCTCCGCAACGTTGCGGTTCAGGACCTTAACCTCTTCGATCTTCGCAAGAAGATCGCTGTTCTCTCCAGAGACATGAAGCAAGCTCACTTCACAATAAGTGGTGACATCACTTCAGTTCATCTTGTATTCGATTTTTTGAAATACGAATTTTGAAAATTGAGGGATTTGAATTGGATTCTAGGTTGTGGAATTGGGGACGAAAGGGTAAGGGGGATAAGGCGTGGCACGAGTGAGTGACAGATGAAGGTGGCCAACAAAGCCGGAGAAGCGGTGGGGTAGGTCGAAGGGAGAATGGTGGTAGTGATCGATGCAGAGAAAACGAGAGCGGGGTGGGATCTGGTTTTGGATTTGGGGAAGACGGGAGCGGGGAAGAAAGGGTGAGGGGGATACAGGGGTGGGTCCCCCATGAAATTATTAAATGATTTTATATTTTAGTTTTTAATATTTAATTAATTTTTTAATAGATAACAAGCCTCGTCTTAAGCTATGTCACTATTTAACGGAAGAATTGATAGACAAACTGACGGAATGTATGAAATTGTAACAAATTCGTAAGATGAGGTATGACATTGACATTTTTTAAAGGTGAAGTATGAAACTGTGACTGGTTCAATAGTTAAAGTAGTTTTATGTAATTTACCAAAATATTAAAAATTTCTCAAAAATAAACAACTGTCAGTGTATTTTAATTATTTTTTAATTTATAAAGGGCGTTTATGCAATTATCCCCATTTTTGTTGCTTTAAACTTCTCTCGTTTTTCATTTTCTCCGTAATCATCCGCCCTCCATTTCTATACACACTCTCTCTACCTCCCCCCTCCTCTCTCTCTCTCTCTCTCTCTCTCTCTCATCAGGTTGATCGCCGGAACCATCAACTTCCGATCAAGTCGCCGGCATTCCGGCGATCCGACTCAGATGATATTGAATTCGGATCCACCAACAACCACTCAGCGTTTCCTATTTCCTAAGACGGTACATTTCTTCGCATCCTCACGCCCCTTTTCGATTTCAATTTCGTTTTCCGACGCCGATATCGCCGATTGAATAGAACCACTCGGGGATTTTATTGGATTGTGGAGAATTTAGGGCTCTCGTTCCATGCATGCTGAATCAAATCATCGCCAATCGCCGATTATTCCCTCCACATCGCCAGAGCTGCTTCCCGATTCCCAAATCGATCGCCGTCCGCAATTCTAGGGTTTAGGATTCGTCGCTGCATTGGGAAATTATGTTTAAGAAGATCATCAAGGGAAACAAGAAGCCCTCGAAATCCGAGACTCATGATCCTTCTTCGTACGGGTACGGGCCGCCCGGAACCCGCAATTCCGGGGCGGTCTCGGCGAATGTGGTCGTGAACCACGCCTCCCGGACTGGGCCAGCTGCTTCTGGGCCCAACGCGGGTGGCGTGGGTGTTACGGCGTTGCCGCCTTCCGGAACCATCGAGCCTCTCCCCATGTTCCGTGATGTGCCCGTCTCGGAGCGCCAGCACCTGTTCCTCCGCAAATTGCAGGTTTGTTGCTTTCAATTCGATTTTTCTGATACCCTTAAGACCCCTAGGGAGAAAGAAATTAAGCGTCAAACCCTTTTGGAATTGGTTGATTTTATACAATCTGGGTCGGGTAAGATCACCGAGACTTGTCAGGAGGAGATGATTAAAATGGTGTCTGTTAATATATTTCGGTGCTTGCCCCCTGCATCCCACGAAAACTCGGGCCAAGAGAATACCGATCCTGAAGAGGAGGAGCTTTATTTGGAGCCATCCTGGCCTCATTTGCAGTTGGTTTATGAGCTTCTTCTTAGGTACATTGTGTCATCTGATACCGATACCAAGGTTGCCAAGCGTTATATTGATCACTCATTTGTGTTGAAGTTACTTGATTTGTTTGATTCTGAGGACCCGCGTGAGCGCGAGTACTTGAAGAACATTCTTCACCGCATATATGGGAAGTTCATGGTGCACCGACCCTTCATCAGGAAAGCCATCAATAACATATTCTATAGGTTTATATATGAGACCGAGAGGCACAGTGGCATTGCTGAGCTTTTAGAGATTCTTGGGAGTATAATTAATGGGTTTGCACTTCCAATGAAAGAGGAGCATAAGTTGTTTCTTGTTCGGGCACTTATACCGCTGCATAAGCCGAAGTCAATTGGTATGTATCATCAGCAGCTTTCCTACTGCATAATCCAGTTTGTTGAAAAGGATTACAAGTTGGCAGATACGGTTGTAAGGGGTTTGTTGAAATACTGGCCAGTGACCAACTGTCAGAAGGAAGTTCTTTTCCTTGGAGAACTTGAAGAAGTTCTGGAGGCAACGCAAGCTGCCGAGTTTCAGCGGTGCATGGTTCCACTTTTCAGACAGATTGCCCGCTGCCTCAACAGCTCTCATTTTCAGGTTTGGGAATATTTTCAAATTTGATTGGGTTTGCTTCATTTAATTATCCATTATGGTTATTTGTTTGTAAGGAAAACTGGGATTTATTTTGCTGGAGCTTTAAACTAACAGTTTAGCTGGTTTATTTAAGAGAAATGGTTCTCAATGTTTTTTTCCCAGTGCTTATTTTGTGAACTTCACTTATTGGTATTTAGCTTGGTAAAAAGTTTTGCCTTTTCCATTTTTTTTGCGATTTAAATATCGTTATTTGTTCTGCTTTCGTTGTACTTATCATTATTTCATTGTATGAATGTGTTGAATTGCATTGTGATATGAAATCTCGCGCAAATGGAAACTGCTTCTGTGTGTGGAAAGTGTCATTAGCGTGCATTTATTGTAACCAATCACTTTTCCGCAATCTCTCTAAAGCTACTTTTTTGTTAAATACCACGTCATTGTTCTCCTTGCCTTGTTTCTCTTTTTGCCTGAGACTGCGGCCTTATCAGTTTATTCTAGTTTGATAAATTTACCCATTGTCTCTTTCTTTTGTTGCTGATCTCATGCTAATGTGATTTCCATTCTGTTATATTGTGGTACACATAATTGTTTACTTTTCGTGTTCCTCCAATGGGAAAAATCTGCCTTGAGTACGTAATTTTTGTTGCCTTAGCAGCTTTGCCTGTTTCTTTTACATTCGATGTGATCTTTTTGTAATTTTCATAGGTCCATCTTTAAAGGAAAGGTCAAAAGTTGATACGTGACTTGAAAAAAAAAGTCAATTACACAATAATTTGGAAGACTGGTTTATGGGTTGACTTAGAATTTTTCGTTCTTGGCATTTAATAAGCGGGGAAGGTAGAGGGTTTGTTATAGATGGCTAAAGTTCTCATGCTAATGTGATTTCCAATCTGCCTTGCGTACATAATTTTTGTTGCCTTAGCAGCTTTGCCTGCTTCTTTCACATTCGATGTGATCTTTTTGTAATTTTCATACGTCCATCTCTAAAGGAAAGGTCAAAAGTTGATACGTTACTTGAAAAAAAAAGAGTCAATTACACAATAATTTGGACGCTAGTTTATGGGTTGACATAGAAACAGAGGGTTTTTTCGTTCTTGGCATTTGATAAGTGGGGAAGGTAGAGCCGTAGAGGGTTTGTTATGGATGGCTATAGTTCTTATGTTAATGTTTTAGGAATGCACTCAACACTAGCATCTTTGTTATATTGAGTTTCTATTGAATAAGCGGACATGCAGCGATATAGAAGATGACGTGTGGGATCAAATTGTAGTCTATCAGTATACAGAGACCATATAACTTGATATGGGAAAAGTAGATACATACATATCACTTAAGGGGCCATGTTAAGATTATCTGAAATCATATAGTATCAATATTACGGGGACAAAAGCACAAGATTGCTAGGTAGGACAACTCCCCAGGAAGGTGGGCATGATATGGGGGAAAACTAAGTGTTCATTAGACATCAATTATAAAATCAATGATGGATGCAACCTTCTCGAGTGACATTTTAAGTTGATATCCCTTGGGTAGTTAAGATGTTAATCAATTTATGAAGAGGAACAGTTCACCTTGATTAATCTACCTTCAATGTATTTTTGCAAAAATGCTTGCTGTATTTGACATTGTTTTGACAGTTCCTGCTGACAACACTCCTGATTTGCTAAGAAACCTGAAACCTGTATGTAATGTTCTGATGAAATAGCCCAAGCGGTTGGCACCAAAAGATCATGAGCTTTGTATAGTTTTTAAGTATTAATATTTATGTTTTGTTTTTCTGCCGAACAGCAGCAGTGGTTTGAATTTAAGTGCTTTATTTATTTTTTTTCATTTTACGCGTTTTTTGTTATTTTATCTTGTCCCCTGTTAGTAGGTTGTCAAATGCTGTCTTCATGAAAGTATTGGTATGGCAGAACAAGAAATGTGAAATTAGTTAGCTTTTGTGCTTCCTGGCATGGATATTGGTGTGCCGACAATTGATCTTACTTGGTAATTGGGCTCTATTTTGATATTCTGTTGAAAAAATCTCTATGAAACGTGAGGTAACTGTATGGGTGGTCTTTTGGTTGTATTCCTATCATGCAGTATGAAAGCATTACAAATGCTTTCAACTCTTTAGCATTTATGAAATGGTGAAGGGACGAGATTCCAAATCAAAACATTTAAAGTTGTATTTACTTAATAATTACATTCCTTGAAAGTTTTTCTAAGTCACATTTACAATGCAGGTTGCGGAACGGGCACTCTTCTTATGGAATAATGAACACATTGTGAATTTAATTGCTCAGAACCGGAAGGTCATACTACCAATTATTTTTGAGGCATTGGAGATGAATATCCAAAACCACTGGAACCAAGCCGTTCACGGGCTGACTGTCAATGTGCGGAAAATGTTTTTGGAAATGGATGCTGAGTTGTTTGACGAGTGCCAGAGGCAGCTTTCAGAGAGAGAAGTGAGGGCAAGAGAGGTAGAAGAAGAGCGAGAGTTGACATGGAAAAAACTGTCTGACGCGGCGGCACAGAGAGGGGAAGAGGATATGGTTACGACCTGAACAAGCAAGCAGGGTTTCGTGTACCCGCACTGGGAAATGACCTGAACAAGCAAGCAGGGTTTCGTGTACCCGCACTGGGAAATGAAGGGATGGATTGAATATAAATCCGGTCCTCTCAATTTGGTGGTATTCTTTCTCAATATATTTTTTTGTCTTTTAATTTTTTGATCCCGGTTCGAATCATTGAAGATATCAGAAGCAGTGATAAAATGTAATTTAAGATGTACGGAATTTGTTAGCAATATGCTGCAGATTAAGAATGATTTGTGAAATATATATTTTCTACTTTCCCTCCTTTCGTATTTTGAATTCTTCTACCATCTTGCTGTGCCATGGTCCCAAAGTTGGTGAGTTCAAATTTGTGTTGTGTGATATTTGGGAGTAAGTCAGTTGGACAGAGTAGTGCGATGCAGCTAGGTTTGATTTCTTTTCTTGCCGTATAAACTAGATTAGAATATCGTTAGAGTTGAAAGAAAAATTTGTGTGATTTTTTGGATTTGAAATTCGTATTATACTCATCAAACAAGGAAATCCCTTAATTTTCAAGAGAAATAATTTCATGTCATGTCATTTACTAAACAATTATGAATCAAACAAAATGTTTACCTCTTCTATGAATTGCAAATCATGTTTTCAACCTAAAGACCAGATATATACCAGGAGATTAGGATAAAACCCAAAGATATTTAGTATATTTCCCACTAATTTTTTTTTTCTTCTCGGGCTTTGACTCGTTCTTGGAAAACATTTTATGAATTACCCATTTTCTAGAGCAAAATACTATATTTTTAGCATTTCCTCTAGAATTCGACCATAACCTCACTTTTTCCTCTTAAGTAAAAACAAATCACTTTATACCTTATAAATTTGTGTGGAACTTGACTTGTCACTGAACTGTGTTGAGTAGCATTACCACCCATTCAAAACTTACCATTTGTTAAAACATTAAATATGATAATTTTTTTAACAGTTTCAGAATATTGACATAAAACCTAAAAAAATATTTAAAAGTAAAAGATGAAAACATGAAACACAAACCCCACCCCAGTCCACCTCCATCAGAAAGACGAAGGGTTGGAGGTGACGGATAGAAATATTGATATGAAAAGATGGCTTTTCACACCTTGTCCTCGTTTGGCAAGCTGTATGGTGAACCGGATAGGATAATCCACGTGTTTGGTATAGTTTTATACTAAATAGTATCCGGATTAATTAATTAAACTGGACCCACATCATGCACAAGATTTATTCCCGTTGCCGTCGTTCAATCGTCGTCTCCGTCAAGATTTCTTCCTCTTCTTGTTTCTGTTCTGCTCTAAATTTTTGGTGGGGTTCCAGTTCCTTTCAAAATTAAGGTTTTGAACCCGAGAATTTAAATTCTGTGAAATTTAGGATTGGACAAAATTTAAATTCTGTGAAATTAATTTGGGTTGGAAGATGAAGCTTCTTGGCTCAATTTCTATGGTTGTGACGACCCACCACGATGTAAATTCAATTAATCGATTTCCTTGATAGGATCTGAAATTCGACGACCTGCAAGTCGTCCTTTCACCAGAATTTGGGGCGGGATCTCACCGTTTGCAATTGATTCCGCCCCTTCATGGTGCATCGATTTGCCATGAATCCACATCCATAACTTTTCTTGGTCATGTGCAGAAGATCAATGACAACAGAATGTTTGCAGAAGATTAACTACAAAGAAAGGGCAGTGCCCCTTTTTGGATTATTCTATCGATGTTTTTCCTTTTTTTTTTTTGTCATTTTATTTACAATTTTTGACATTGTCTTTCATAAAATATAATGCATTAATGCATAGTCGATTTTTAGTCCGATTTTACACCAAACATTCGACTAATCTAGTCAGTACTATCTGATGTACAAATTATTCTACCTAATTGAAATAGTTAGAACAGTCTGAATTGCCAAACAAGGCCTATATGTCAAAGTCACAATTGTGGAGCCAAAAATAATCAAGAGGCAACACGTGGATCTTTAGGTGAAGGGGACAAAATTACCCTCGAGACACACTGGGTTTCCTACATGCAAGCAGTGGAGAATCATCCATCAACCGAGTCAAGAGTGCCCAAAATAGGTAACAAGTTCAAATTTATCTTGCAAAACTCCCAAAAACTCTCAAACACTTTTCTCTTTAAATTCTAACTTTGGCATTGGAGGTTCTTCGGCCAAAGTCCCCTATTCATCGTGGGTGCGTGAGGCTCTTGGCCTTGAACTAAAGTGTTATTTGTTTTGTAGGTGCAATTTTGTCCAAGATCAAGGAAGAAGAAATTTGCATCCACAAATTGGTGCTTTCATTGAGAGTTAAAATTCACACTCGTAGAAGACTCTCGCATAAAAAGGTTTTTTCTCTATTTTCTAGTCCACTTGTATTTTTCGTACATTCTTATTATTAGAATTTTTTATTTGCAAAGATTCTTTGATAAAATGAAAAAGAGAAATACAATGGCTAGAAATTTAGAAAACTCCATGAGTGAAAATTCCAATATTCAAGAAATAGAACCGTAGTGATCCATGAGACTAAATGTGATCCTAGGGGGAGCGGCACCACCACCACAAGGTTCCACCATGGGAACCACCGCGATGGCCAGCGGCGGAGAGGTCCATGGCACCACAACCACAGCCTGAGCCGTGCCACCAAAGCAAGCCCAAGCTGTGCCATCCAAGGCTCATGGCACCAAGGCCATGACCTAAGTCATGTCACTTCAAGCCCAATGCGAGCCCAACATGTTGCCAAGTCGAGCCCTAGCCTCACACACTCGTGTGCCACATTCCGAGCAGCTTGCTCTAGTGGCCCAGCCTGCTTCTGCTGAGCAGTCTGCTCTCATGCCCAGCCTGCTCCCGTGGTCCAACTTGCTTCTACTGAGCAACCTGCTCCCGTGGCCCAGCCTGCTTTCGTAGCCCAGTCTGTTCCCGTGGCCTTCCAAGCAGCTCAAATCAGTCCAAGACTAGTTCAACCGTCTCGGCTCCAAATTTATGGACCGATGATCAAATCGGGAGCATTTTCACCATATTTTTTTGCGGATTTGACATTTCCCAGCTCAAATCTCGCTCCCGGAGTCTACCACACTTCCATTGCTTAAGGAGAAACATTCCTTCCAAGCTCTTCTAATCCAAATGACGAACAACACTTGTCTCGACAAGTCATAGAGTTGACGAGCGCCCCAGCACAGCAGACGACCTTGGTGAACCAGCTCTTGTAGTGCACGAAGATGTAACGTGTTCCAAATGAGGTGTCCCGAAGAAGGACAAGGGTAGATGAAGAACCTCTCCATCAGCGTCCTGACAAACAGCTACTCGACTTACCACGAACTAAGCATTTGGGCATAGTACACTCCCGATTGGGCCCCCGAGATAGCGTATACTCCTGTCTTAGCGCTTGGAGGAACGTGCACTCTCGACTAGGCCCACGAACGAGCGTAAACACTTCCGATTGGGCCCCCGAGATAGCGTATACTCCCGTCTTAGTGCGTGTTTATTCGCTGCTAGGCCAGTAAAGAGCATCCTCCATACCACATCGGGGTAGGTAGCATGACGGGATGAGAGAATCAGTCACTCAATCTGGCTCAAGTTCAACCAGCAGCCTGCGAAATCCATCGCCTACTAGGAATCCACCACATGCACCGCTGCTGCGGCATAGACGAGCCGAGCACGTAGAAGAGCAGCCTAGACTAATAGGTCAATACTGGGGTAGCCGAGAGCCCTGCCACTCCCAACAAAGGCAAATTCAGGAAGAAGTAGAAAAGCTCCTGATCGATCGATTGTGCAATTTCCCTCGCAACAAAGCTATTGTCAAGGCACTCCGATAAGACATGACCAACATGAGCGAGTCATCTTTCAATGACAAGATTAAGCAGACGGGACTACCCCATATAGATTGCTGGGTATAAAGACTACTTTTGTTCTGACAAATGTAGCAGCTAGCCTAATGGCACGCCTAGGGCAGACGAGTACCAAAAGGACACACCAAGCCCAACTACCAAGAACAGGGGGCAAGCTAAGGATTATTTCGGTTGTCCCTGCAGTCCAGCTTTCCTTAGTTGCACTCACGACAATAATTTCCATGCTCTTCAGTGCGAGAGGGTAAACCAATTCCCCGACACCCAAAAGGGTCTGCTCTTCAGTGTGAGAGGATAAACTAATTGCTCTCCAGTGCAAAAGGGTAAACCAATTCCCCGACACCTAAAAGGGTATGCTCTCTAGTGCGAGAGGATAAACTAATTGCTCTCCAGTGCGAGAGGGTAAACCAATTCCCCGACACCCAAAAGGGTATGCTCTCTAGTGCGAGAGGATAAACTAATTGCTCTCCAATGCGAGAGGGTAAACTAAATCCCTGACACTCATATGGGTCTGTTCTCTAGTGCGAGAGGGTAAACCAATTCCCCGACACCCATATAGGTCTGCTCTCCAGTGCGAGAGGATAAACTAATTGATCTCCAGTGCGAGAAGGTAAACTAATTCCCCGACACCCATATGGGTCTGCTCTCCAGTGCGAGAGGATAAACTAATTGTTTTCCAGTGCGAGAAGGTAAACCAATTCCTCGACACCCATATGGGTCTGCTCTCCAGTGCGAGAGGGTAAACTAAGTCCCTGACACCCATTTGGGTAAGCTCTCCAATACGAGAAGGCCACATAACTTAAAAGATCGAATGCTTGAAGATCAACTAGGTAGCAAATGGTTAGAGGGCAGCAGCCACTTTTGCACTTAACAGTTCACTCATCCGATACTTCATCTTTAGCAGCTCCAATCTTGGCAACTTTATCCTTGATTGCTCCATCTATAGTAACTGAGAAATCAAACTCAAGCAATTTCCTCATTTTTGGCAAACCAGCCTAGACATGGCAGCCCAAACCATTGCCCATGCCACATCACTTCCTCAGCCCATGTCAAGCCAATCCTTGGTTTCAATCAAGTTTAGTAGCACAAGTAATAGCCCCTACCACACCACATCCTTGGCCCATGACAAGCCCACTCCTGGCATCTGCCAGTCGAGGTGCCGTACTACCCCGACGGCTGCCCCGTGGCTGCACCTTCTAAGAAGAAGACAAGGAGAATTAAGTTTCCCTTACATCGGTACGGCGTTAAGAAGACAAAGAAAGCAACGAAAGACGGTCATTTTCACGGGCAAGTGTAGAAAATTGCTAGAGGAGGGGGAACAAATATCCTCTAAGCTTTTTCTCTCTTGTAAGGTAGAACAAATCGCTCTCCAAAGTTGATTTAACAAACCACTTAAGGTGGACTTAAACAGGCTTTGAGAGAAATTTATTTCCCTTTCCTA